TTGCTCTACCTAAATAAGCTTTGCTTAGTTTTGAATCTAAGAATTTTACCTGAAAGTCACTTTTACTTTTTAAATTGTTACCGTTTAATTCTAGTAACTAAGTTTGCTTCACGGAGCCCATAGCTCCAATCTGCCTTCAAGCTTATAGTCCTGCATGCTATTCTTCCTTTGTGTGCTACCAAATTTAAATGGATTTGCATTAAGAAAATTCATCTCGTATCTCAGGAATAGCACTAATCCTATACATATGCATATTTTTACAGTAGGCTTTTTGATTAGGGACATTCTGCAGGCAAACTTCGTAATCTCCAAGGATGCATCTAGACAGCGTGACACAATTGCCTTATGACTTAGTTGATAGAGTTGTCAGTGAACATACAAATAGTTTTTATTTATTATCCACAGGCTTTCTATGAACTTAAATAACTTAACAGTGGCCACATGGCGTGAAATAAAGTAACGTATTTTGTATTGCATTTCTTGCAGACATTCTCATAGCCAAAATATCATCTATTAATCTGAGATAAAATTAACCTTCCATTATTCTTCAGCTGTAATTACTAAGCAAAATCTTTTCAGCATAGTCAAGTTACTATTTACTATTAATAAATCTGACTTTTTGTAATCTGACTTTTAGGCCCAGGATTCATTGGAGGCAGACTCTGTATCGCTGCAAGATGACTGTATTATCGACTCCGTCATCAAGACAGACTCGTCATGCCTGCCAGCTAAGGTAACGACTCTTACAAATAGTCTTGATGAAGCTCAAGGCGCACCGGAGCCTGCAGGACCATTAAACAAAGACACTGAGAAAGCAGCTGGATTAGAGGCAGTCAGTGGAAAAGAACTTCAGTCAGCTCCAAAAGCAATCATTCATTTGAGTGAATCTGTTATAAACATGATTGCAGCTGGTGAAGTGATCCAGCGACCAGCAAATGCTATCAAAGAGTTGGTTGAGAATTCTCTGGACGCGGAGAGCACTATTATTCAGGTAATTTGCCATTATATTTTTCTCGCTTATGAGGACAACGGTTCCTCACCTTTAAGACTGATTTCCTAGAATATCGATAGTTGATACATTTTGAATTGTAGACGTCTAAGCGAAAAGCGTTTAGAAACTAATATACCTTAAAAACCTTAGTCAATATGCATTGCAATGGCAGCAATCAATGTAAGAATCGCAGAAATTTAGCTATATAAAGTTTTAAAA